ACTCCAGCAACAGTAAATGAATTTGTCCAGGAGGACAAAGAAAGCAGGAAGAGCCAACAGCCGCAAAACGCCGGAAGCTAGAAATCAAGCGACTAACTAAGTAGATTCAGGAGAGCTGCATCCTGAGCTGGTGGGAGGTGCCAAGAAGCAGCCGGGTTCACACTGCGGGAGCCCCAGAAGAGCTGGAGACTGGCTACGTGTGGGGTCTCTAGAAATGCCGGGGAGGCTAAACCAGGAGTATTGCTTGGAGGACTGCTGAAGAGCAGTTAGTTCCTCCGATCCCTTCCAACTCTCAACAAGTGGTCAACAGCCCCTCCCTGACTCTGGAATAAGACTAGAGCCTTATTCTCTGGAAACACTAACGCCAAGGGCCTCTGGACTGGAAGACACCAAACATAAATGAGGAGAGGAGTATCTTATAAAAACAAATGAATGCTAAATGTTGCAGAGCCTTCCCCACATGCCCCAGAGATCTGGCAACCCAGCCTATACTCTCCTGGCTGTAGACTAGAAGACCCTTCCCTGGGGAATCTGAATATCCCAAGAGGAGAATCCCATAGATGCTGACAGCCGGGTTCCCCAAGAAAGGCCCAGACATCTCACACTGTAGTGAGGGCTTCAGTCAACAAGCACAGCCAGGGGCCCAGTTTCCAATCAAAATAAATCACCTTTTTAGCTGACAACCAGTTTCAATATTTAAATATAAGCCAATAACCCAGGATCATTACACATCTGCAGGAAACCTCAAACATGAAAGACAATACAAAAACAAAAGGGAAAAAAAAGGAACTTAGAGAAACAGAGACTATGTACGAAGGGAGATAAAATATTTTAGAAAGTTTAATTGCCTTCATATTAAAATAACTGAAATTAATATCTTCAAAAAGATAAAAGAATTCTATAGCAGACAAGTGCTTCAAAAAAGGATAAAAGAAGATGTTACATTCATAAAACAAGAATATTACAATTAAAAAGATATTCACAGAACCAAAAAGGTGATTTGGAAATTATTCTGCTGATAGCAGGTGATATTCATAGAATGGTTAAAAAATAAAGTTGAGAATATTATCCAGAAAATGGAGAAAAAGGACCAAGACATGAAAATAGGACAGCGAGGCTGGGTGAGGTGGCTCATACCTGTAATCTCAGCACTTTGGGAGGCCGAGGCAGGCAGATCACAAGGTCAAGAGATTGAGACCTTCCTGGTCAACATGGAGAAACCCCGTCTCTACTAAAAATACAAAAATTAGCTGGGTGTGGTGGCACACGCCTGTAGTCGCAGCTACTTGGGAGGCTGAGGCAGGAGAATCAGTTGAACCCAGGAGGCAGAGGTTGCAGTGAGCCAAGATCATACCACTGCACTCCAGCCTGGACAACAAGAGTAAAACTCCATCTCAAAAAAAAAAAAAAAATAGGACAGAGAAACAAGGAAAATTGTAAGACCAGTGAAACAAGGAAAATTACAAGACTAGTTCAGATGACCCAATAGTTGTAGGGAGAAAAAAGAAGAAATCATCAGTGAAATAATTTAAGGACATCTCTCAAAACTGAACATCATGCATTTCCAGGTTGAAAGGGTTTATCAAAAGTCTAACACTGTGAATAAAAGCAGACCCACACCAAGCCTGCCATTATAACATTTCAGAACACTTGGAACGAGATGCTACCATAGGCTTTCAAAGAATCAAGACACGGAATTGCTTCATACTTAATTAACAATGCTGGGGAGGCTAAAAGCCAATGAATCCATTGATTCCTTCAGACTTGTGAGGGAAAAAGATGGTAACTGTCATGGCTAAGACTGAGTGTCAACTTAACTGGATTGAAGGATGCAAAGTATTGATCCTGGGTGTGTCTGTGAAGGTGTTCCCAAGAGAGGTTAACATTCCCAGTGGGCTAGGAAAGGCAGACCCACCCTTAATCTGGGTAGGCACAATCTAATCAGCTGCCAGTGCGCCTATAATATAAGCAGGCAGAAAACTGTGAAAAGAGAGACTGGCCTGGCCTCCCAGCCTACATCTTTCTCCTGTATTGGAGGCTTCTTGCCCTCAAACATCAGACTCCAAGTTCTTCAGTTTTGGAACTCGAACTGGCTCTCCTTGCTCCTCAGCCTGCAGACAGCCTCTTATTACGGGATCTTGTGAGCATGTGAGTTAATAATATATATGGGAGTTCATTAAGTATTATATATATATATATATATTCCATTAGTTTTATTGCTCCGGAGATCCTGACTAATAGAGATTTTTATTATTGTTGTGTAACAAACAGCCTTAAACTTTTGTGGCTTAAAACAATAGTCATTTTATTGTATCTCACATTTTTAAGGGCTCAGGAATTCAGGCAGAGCTTGACTGGCCTATTTTTCCTCTCTATATGACATTGTGGTCACGCGATAACATTGCCTAATGGCTGGGCTGGGCTGGGCTGGGCTGGAGGATCTAAGATGGCTTCACTCACATGACGTGCCTGGGAAGGGCCTACTGGAAGGCTGAGTTCAGCCAAGCAGGGCCTTTTTTTTTTTGATAGGCTTTTTTTTTTTAGTAGTTTTAGGCTTATGAAAAATTTGACATGATTAAATCACAGAGGTGGATTTCTCTCGCATGGTTTAGTGCCATCCCTTTTGGTACTGTCCTCATGACAGGGAGTGAGTTCTCATTAAATCTTGTCATTTAAATGTGCGTAGCACATTCTCCCTTGCTCTCCTGCTCCTGCTTTTGCTATGTGACATGCCTGTTCCCCTTTTGCCTTCTGCCATGGTGAGAAGCTTCCTGAGACCTCCCCAGAAACAGAGGCTGCTGTGCTTCCTTTACCTCCTGCAGAAACATCTTTGCTTATAAACCACCCAGTCTCAGGTATTTCTTTACTGCAATACGAGAACAGACTAATACAATGATAAATACTTAGAAAATTAAGGAAAGAAAAAAAAGGCAGTTATTAACTCTACAGAAATAAAAATGTCATAAAGAAAATAGAACGCAATCATAGATAGATTCGTTGTCAATAGCTAAATCCATTGACAACTATTGTTCTTCTAGAGTAAGAAATGAACAGATAATGCCAAAGACTAAAAATAGAGAAGCGGCCTTAAAAGTATGTTGCTTAGAGATGAAAAGAAAAGTATCGAAAGACCCAGTCAGTTAAGGTTGGAATTAGTTGCCTCTGGGAATGGAGACATGGATACTGCAGGGGAGTGTGGAGTTGCTGTTTAGCATCACAAGTCTCATACACACACATAGGTGAGTTCTTTGGTTCTACGAGACTCACCACCTCAAGTCTTTCCCGATTTTAGCTTCTCAATTAGACTTCCTCTGGCCACTGTAATTCTCGTGTCCTTTTTCTCCTTTGCTTCATAGAACTTATAACTTTCTAGCATCCTCTGTCATTTGCTTTTTCATAATGTTTAGTGCTGTTATTGGTCTTTTCATGTTGAAATATCAACAACACAGAAGCAGGGATCACATTTTTTAATTTTCCAATATAACTCAAGTGCCTAGAATAATAACTGGAATGTAGCAAGTGCTCAATAAACATCTATTAAGTAAGTTAATTTTAAGCTATGTGCATGGGTAGCTTTGATTTTAAAAAATAAATACATTATTCACCTCAAAATTCTACTACAAAACAAAAATCTCACACTTAAAAACATTGCTCAGACATTGTGGTCTTCTATTAAAAAACGTTATCATTGGTATTCTCAGACTTCGGAAAATGTATACTATTTATAATGCATTCCGAATGCCAAACACAATATATGCTCACCTTTCTGAAGCACTGAGACAGTTGCCATGCACTGTAATACGATGAGTAAGATTTCATATGACACCTAATAAACAGTATTGTGTGTAAGGTTGTGAGATGTGAACTTATTACAATGAAAAGAAGGTAAAATAGATTTGAAGACTATGCAAATATTTTAAGCTAAATTATTATATTTTAGTTTATATCTTGCCTTGTTTCAAAAAACATTTTAGGAAGCCTATGACAGTGTAGAGAACATTTAAATTAAACTAAATTTCATTGCATTAATTAAACTACTTATATCTAAATTAAGCAAAAGAAAAGGAAAACTCCAAGATGAGACAAAAGGGAGTCAGGAAAATGACTTAAAAGATGTATAATTGTAGCCTGATGCTGGCATCAAACTTGTCTGTAAGCTCTGTGTCCATTAGTATTAGATTCAAGGAACAGAGATTCAACATATATCAGTTTACTTCTCTCACACAGAAAGGGTTAGAAAATGTTCAGTCTAGAAGTGATATGAGAGCTCAACTCCATGTAGTTCTCAGGGATCCAGGCCCCTTCCAGCTGACCCCTCCACCTTTTCAACGTGAACCTTATTCCCATAGTTTAAGATGGCAGCATTCCTACTCTGGGCAGGAGACTGAAGAAAAGGTACAGAAAAGGAAACAGAATCATCATCCAATTGTTTGCTAAGGAACGTTACCAGAAATTGCCAGTGGATAGTTCTAATTCCATCTCATCACCCAGAACTTAGAGATGTGCCACTCCGAGCTGCAAGAGAAGCTGGAAAATGCAGTCCTCATTCTGTACAGACGTGGGTCTGGCTAAAAGTTCTATTATGGTGCACGAAGGGAGAACAGAGCTAAGGGACAATAATAATGTCAACCATAGCTTTATAGCAACCAAAAAAAAAAAAAGGAAACATGGTTAGCTTCAAAATAACAGAGTTAATAAAGAGGAGCAGTTGCTGGAGAAATGTACAGCAGTTCTTGGTTAAAAAAATATTTGAAAAGGATGATTCTGGAGGTCTTTGTACAGTACTCTTAAGACACCCATACAACTCATTTCACAGAACCGCTTCTCATAACAACTGCCAATATTACATTCACAGCTCAGAGAAAACTTGTCAGCAGAGATTTGATTTTTTTAGTTCATTTTAAGAGTACTTTTAAAAACGTGATAGAAACATGCTTTTTTAACTTCTTCATGTGGGTATCCTGACCGTAAATATATATATATATATGTATTTGTTTCAGAATTAAAGAGAAATCTATTTACCTTCGCTTATGGAAAAGAAACCACTGTAATCACAGGGACTACCAGAATATTTCAAGAAATGGTATGTAGCTTTCCATTTAAGCCATTACCCTGTAATGACTGACTTTATTTTATAAGTACCTCAAAAGCTGATATTTTCATAACAAGGACCACAGAATAAAATGAACAGTCTCCCTTCCAACACCATTACCCTTTCTGAAAGAAGGGCCCTGTGCTTAGAGCCATTTACCCACAGCAAAGGAGAACAAAAACAAGCTATAGTCAAGGGGTATAGACCAAAAGAGCGGATCATTCGCCCATAGCTAAGTTCTAGCAAGGCCAAGGCACAGGATGCATGAGGCTCAGGAGGCAAGACCTAAATGAGCATCAGCAGAGCAAGAGCTGAGCACAGTTAAGGTCACTGCAAAAGCTCCGCCTTCTGCGATGGTGCAAAGTCTCCCACGTTTCCGCTGGGGTTGGAGTTTTCAGTTTCACCTGTGTGGGTTTCAGCCTTCCCCCTCGGACCTGGATGGAGGTGGCCACAAGATTCTGATGAAACTTCTGATTGATAAACCATGGCCTGGCTGACGCCTAATGAATTGCCAAGTAATGTTTTGTAACACCAGAATGCAGAGATGGTAAACAGTGTGTGTGTTGACACTCCGTCTTCCTAAGCCTGGGAAAGATATTGCTAATCAGCCTTGGCACTCTTGTCTGCTACGCTCAGATTCTGCCTCAGCAGTTCCTGAGACACAGCACGTCTGACAATCATCATCAACAAATTAGGCTTGGCACATGAAGTTAAACCTATTTAATATCCCTGTGCTATCTCTAATTAACAAAACACGTTGAGGGATTTTCCAAGCAGCAAGCTTTTAAACTAAACATGTGACCTACAAATAACGTATTTCCTATAATAAATATTCTATACAGAATAAGTGCCCCCCTCATCTAAGAACAATAGAGATTTTTTTTACTAATAAAATAATTACTGTCGTTAACTGAGCTCTTACCAAGTGCTAAGAGCTTATGTTTATTTCTGTTGATCCTTTCAACAACAGACACTGTAAGGCAAGTATTATTCAATTTCTCCAGTACTAAGATACCATTGATTGTAATAGCTCTAGAGAGTTTTAAGGGAGGAAAAAGGAAGGAAAAATGACAATGTACCCATTGATTGCAGCATTCAACTCAATACCAAACGTATGTTAAAATAGACTTCTCAGAATTGGGCATGAAAATAATATCCACACTGTTGCAACTGGGGAAATGGAGACATGGAGAAGCCAGGATCCTCTTCCCCAGCCACAAAGCCAGTTAGTTACAAGTAGACGCTTCTACCCACGTTGCCTCACTCCACTCAGATAACAACAAAGATAATACAGTCATTGGGCCACGGTCCCAGATGATCTGCAGAAAGAGATCGGCCTCATCCCTCTGCATGTGAATACAACCAGTAGATAATGGGTAATTACAGTCCAATCTGGCCATGCGACCCATCACAGATACAAAGTGAACATCCGGCCTATGGCTGCACTTTCTTTTTCCTTTAGTGAGATACTCAAATAGCCCCCAACATGGTCAAATATCCTCTGTCAATGAAGATTGTAAAAAACAAAGCACAAAACTCATCTGTGTGGAATATTATGCAGCCCTAGAAAATGATGGCTAAAGGTCAAATATATTTTTATTTGGAAAGACAAGGCACTGCCAAAAGAAAAATCAGGATATGAAATTGAATCATACAGTTTAGTTTATATGATATTTTTAAAAGAAAAGGAAAAAAGCCAGGTGTGGTGGCTCATGCCTGTAATCCCAGCACTTTCGGAGGCCAAGGCAGGTGGATCGCGAGGTCAGGAGATCGAGACTATCCTGACTAACACAGTGAAATCCCGTCTCTACTAAAAATACAAAAAATTAGTCAGGCACGGTGGCACATGCCTGTAGTCCCAGCTACTCAGGAGGCTGAGGTAGAAGAAACACTTGAACCCGGGAGGCCAAGGTTTCAGTGAGCTGAGACCATGCCACTGCACTCCAGCCTGGGTGACAGAGTGCGACCAAAAAAAAAAAAAAAAAAAGGTATACATAGGAAAGATTGGCAGAAAATATAGAAAATCATTATGTTTGATAAATTATGGGTGATTGCTTTCACCTTTTTCTACTTTTCTGTTTCCTGATGTTTATTTTTATATAGAAATAACCTCTAAAAACGTGACAGAAACAGTCTAGGAATAGTACAGGGCTTGTCCAAGGTTCTGGAGCCAAAGGTATGCGGTTAGGGCACGACCGTGAGTGATGGGATTCTGCCGGAAATGCAGGCTGCAAGCTGCTGTTTGGAACTTGTGACTCTAATCCAGCATTTCTCCTTCGCAACACCCAGGTGTGCAAAGTCAACATCACCTTACTGCCCACAATAAACGCAGTCATCGTTCATAAAATCATCAAGACTAGAGTAAGATCATCCAAAAAGTATACCTAGGACACTTGATAGTAAATTGTTCTTTTGCAATCTGCTCTCCTGACAACATTCCTTTAAAATTCAGATTGAAAAGATAAAAATCGGGGACAGGAGACAGGAGAACCTAATCATGTCAAAATGTGCTCGAAAGCTGTTGCTTTGGTCAGACTTTTTGTCTAGTGAATAAATGCCGGGGAAGAGGGGATATTTTCTTCCTTTGAATTTGCAGTCCTTAGAAACGCATAAAATGTATGCTTCGTCTAGTATTACTTGACTATCGTCAACTAATTTTCTAAGACTGTAATTCTAAAAAGATACATTTTTAGTTTCTCAGTTACTCATTATTTAATGTTCTGGTTTTATTCTCCAGCCCCTCTTCCTATTTTCTCTTGAGTTTCCTTGCTGTGGACTCTCTTTTGATATTATGCAGCATGTAACCTGATTACCCACGCCAAATTACTTCAATTACTCTCCAAGGTTTTTATTAGATATAGGAAAAGTCAGCTTTTCACATTCTGCATATTTATGGGGCTACACTTATTTTTCAGAACCAGCAAGAAAGAAAGGGAAAAAAGGAAGAGTTGAAATAGAATACTAAAGTGTTTCTTAAAAATTGAATAGTAAGAATTAAAGAAACAGCTCCTATTTTCATCCTGATCCTTATGTAAGAGATTTCAAAAACATCTACACATAACTCTTATCATGAACCCCAGTCAGTGACTATAACGCATTTTTTTTTGAGACAGAGTCTCCCTCTTTCACTCAGACTGGAGTGCAGTGACACGATCTCAGCTCACTGCAACCTCCACCTCCTGCATTTAAGCAATCCTCCTGCCTCAGCCTCCCGAGTAACTGGGATTACAGGCACATACCACCACACCCGGCTGTTTTTTGTATTTTTAGTAGAGACAGAGTTTCACCATGTTGGCCAGGCTGGTCTCAAACTCCTGACCTCAGGTGATCCACCTGCCTCGGCCTCCCAAAGTGCTGGGATTACAGGCGTGAGCCACTGCACTCAACCCTATAATACATTTTAAAACAGAGAATGGAGAAGTCATCTTTAATCCAGGGAATGATTCTCTGGTGCAGGGGTTAGAAATGGGAAGGGTCCTGCTAAGTGTTTTTTATCATCAACAGAGGAGAGAGTTGCCGTGACTCTTGGAACTTCCCAGATACCAAAATCGCTCAAGGTGGGAGGCAGCCAGCACGTGAAAGAGGGAAGGACCTAAGAGCTGCAGAGCAGCCTGGCTCCTCTGGGCCTTCTCCAGGATGGAAAGTAGACCCCGAAAACAGAGCAGGGCCCTTCCTCTCCTGATTGCCTCACAAAATTGTCTCTCTTCCTTGAATTATAAAGTAGGTTGGTTTTGAATTCGGGTCCTGGAATTGGTGTGTGGCTTGGGCCAGTCATTGAGTCTCTCTTGCCTGTTTCTGGTTCAGTGAGCACAGTTGACAAAGGTGACCCTGGATCTCATTCAGGGTTGCCCAGACAACCAGCCAGGTTGAGTGAATCATCTTCCCCATCCTCCTGGGGGAGAGGTTGCACCCAGACTCAATGGGGTAAGGTGGTGCTGGAGCTAGCTGCCTTCTGATCTTTTGCAAACCCATCTTTTCTCCATTAAAGCCAGTTCTTTATTCCATGTGACATTGTGGAATTCATCGTGAAACCTGGTGCATGACTGACCAGATATGGCCCACCTTGCACACAGGGATGGGAATGGTACACAGCTTCATGGGGCTGCTGAAGACTGAATGAGAAACACAGGGCTTCATAAACGCCCAGCATCAGGGTACCGGTGAAACAGTGTTGCTAATTTCACCTACCACCTGTATTATTATTTATTTACTCAGTGTTTTTGAAAAATCAGTTGCTTTTTCTTTTCTCTCTTTTTTTTATTGTTTTTTGTTTGTTTGTTTTTGAGGGTTGTTTTGTTTTGAGGGTCTCACTCCGGCACTTAGGCTAGAGTACAGTGGTATGGTCATAGCTTGCCGTAACCCCAAACACCTGGGCTCAAGTGATCCTCCCACCTCAGCCTCCCAAGTCCTGGGACCACAGGCATGCACCACCACATCTGACTCTTTTTTTTTTTTTTTTGGTAGAAACAGGGATCTTGATACATTGTCAAAGCTGGTCTTGAACTCTAGGTCTCAAGCAATCCTCCTGATTCAGCCTCTCTAAAAGCTGGGATTACAGGTGTGAGCCACTATACCTGGCCCAATGGTTTTTTCAATGTCAAAAGATTTTTTTATCATTGTTAACAATAACTTTATTTTTTTATTTATTTTTATTGCTATGTAATAGATGTACAGATCTTCAGAGTATATGTGACAATTTGACACATTTTTATAATCAGATCAGGGTAATTGGATACCTATCACCTTCAATATTTCTCTTTATTTTATTTTTTGTGTGTTGTTGCATTTTAGGTTTTGGGGTACATGTGAAGAACATGCAAGATAATTGCATAGGTACACACGTGGCAGTGTGAGTTGCTGCCTTCCTCCCCTTTATCTATGTCTGGCATTTCTCCCCATGCTATCTCTCCCCAACTCCCCCTCCCCGCTGTCCCTTCCCTATTCCCCCCAGTAGACCCCAGTGTGTAGTGCTCTGCTCCCTGTGTCCATGT